CACATACCCGTGATCCAGTCCTCTCTCTAAAGCCCCATCTATGAGGGCGTGAGGCTCTAGAACGACATCTAGATGTAAACCATCACAGTCACATAAATGTGCTAAAGTTTTGTCCCCCCCTCCCATTTACATTTTCTTGTTGGCTTGATTCATACACACACATACCATGTGTTCCTTATGAGTAATTGTAATTGTAGTTATTTTTTGACTATTTGGACTTTTAACCTTCATTGTAGAGGTCTGAGGATTTTCATAGCATCGTACTGGATTGTTGTGAAGGTGGCTGTAAATCTTCCTTTACCAGGGTGTTCTGTTCTTTCACATGTTTTCCTACAAGGTTGTCTGTCTCCTGGTGACACATCACCATAGCCTTAGGGTGTGTTTGGAGGATTTGATCCTCCTTCATTTCTGAAGATAGCTCAGCTTGGCATAGTACTCTTGACTTCCAGGCTCTTTTCTTTGAATATGTCACCCCCCAGCCTGCAAGGCCTGTGCTGAGAAACCTCCTGACAGTCTGATGGGATCCTCTCATATGTGATGGTGACTCTATTCTCTTGCTCCTTTTAAAATCGTTTGTCTTTTCTTTAGATGGTTTGGTTATTGTACACCTTGGAGAGGACTTTTTTTGGGTGAGTTCATTGGAGAATCTTTGAGCTTCCTGTATCCAGATGTCCTTATCTCTCCCAAGACTTGAGAGACTTTTAGCTATTATTTTATAAAATACATGTTTTGTGACATCTCTATCTTTTCCCCAGCTGGAATTCCCATAATGTGACTATTCATTCATTTACTGTTGTCTCATAGGCCTGTGGCCTTCCTCATTCTTTTTTATTCTCATTTAATTTTTTTTTCTCCTCTCTGACAGTGTTATTTCAAAAGACCTGTCTTCAAACTCTGCTTGATCTAGTTTGTTATGTAAACCCACAGTTATAACTTTCACTCCATTCATTAAATTCTTCAGCTCCAATATTTCTGTTTGGTTCTTTAAAGGATGCTTGTGTTGAATTTCTCACTCAGGTTATGAATTTGTTTTTCTGATGTCTTGTACTATAATTGTTTGCTAGTAATCTCTTATATCTTACAGAGTTTCCTCAAGGTCATTATTTTATTTACCTTTGTGGGGATTTCATAAACTTATTTCCTGGGTATCTATTAATGGAAATTATTCCTTTCCTTTACAGGTTTAGATTTCCTTTATTTTCATGTTTTGTTGTTGTTACTACATTGACATTTGTGTGTATGATGAAGCAGTTGTGTCTTTCAATTTATGGGATGTCTTTTGTAGAGAAGATGTTTCTCATGGGCGGGTCCTTGGTGTTGGAGGGCTAAGGTGCATGACTTCAGCTTTGGTGGATGGTGGGAGGACCATCTGTGGGTACCCGGAAGCCTGGTGTGCAGAAGGTGCTGTGCAGAGATCAGAACAGTGCCCCTTCCTGGGGATCTATTTATGGATCACACCATTAATCACACCAGGTGAGACTTGAAGTCAGATATGCAGCCACAGAGGACACCCAGAGGAGGCAGTGTGAGGTTTGTGCAGATGGGAAGGGTGTGCAAGGAGGGGACTGATGCAAGCAGTGGCCTGCATGGACTTCTGGGTCCATGGTAATGGTAGTGTTCTTGATGATGGTGGTGTCCCTGGTGGTGGTGATCTCTCTGGTGGCCTCAGTGGAGCCCCTCTCTTCTCCAGGATGTTTTATGGACCCTGGGGAGTTCTGGGCAGTCCAGGAATCTGGAACCAGAGGAACAGTGGCAGGTGAGGGAGAGAAAGCAGAGTGGACAGGGTGGCAGTGGATAGCCAGGCTGTGGAGGGAGGGCCACTGCATGGAGAGGGCTGGGGGTCACAGTTGGGTGGGCCTGTACTGAGCTAGTAGGCTGCTGCATACTGGGAGGGCCCAGGGGGACAATGAGAGCAAAGTGCAAATGGGCTCCAAGGGGACAGAGGGCAGTAAGGGATGGGGGTGTTGCCCTGGGGAAGGGCCAGGGCTGGCACCTGTCCACACACCACCCTGGGGAAGGTGTGAGACATCCTGCAGGCCATACCTGCCCACAGTAGGTCTTCTCCCAGCACTTCTTGTCTGGGGAGTCACTGCATGTGTGAGGCCCAGTCCTCTACTCAGCATCTGGGAAGGAGAGCTGGCTGTTCCCGGTGTAGTCTTCACTATTCCTGGCAGCTGGAAAGGTCCACTGGTCTTCGTTTGCACCCTAGAGTGCCAAGTGACCTGTACAGCATTCCCAATCACCAAGCGGGCCTGTCCAGGAACCAATTTCCTCTGGGGCTTTGCATCTTGAGGTAATGAAATTGTGCAGATCCTGCTGGGCAGCCGCAAGACAAATAGTGGGTGCTGGGCATGCCAGGCTGGGGGCAAGAACGGGGAATGGGAGGAGGGCAGCAGGGTGGGGGCCAGGTGGGGGCCTTTCCAGGCCCAGGACAGTGACAGAGTTCCAGGCAGGCCCTGGCTCTGTGGGTGTTGTGTGGAGTGTCTTCCTTCCAGAGGCTGTGACACCCCGGTGTCCTAAGCCTCCTACCTGCTGCACCCTTCTCCTCTCTGACCCACTGCCTGGAGTGGGTCTCAATTTTGGCCTCCAGCAGCTGTGCTCACTACTGTCAGGGTACAGGGTTCTGTGTGCGCAGTGAATGCAAGGCTGCCCTGGGTGTGGCCTCCAGAAGTTGGTACAGTTCCACCCACTTCTCAGGCGTGGACTGAGGCACTGCTGGCCATGGGCTGTCCCTTCTAGACAGAGTGCTGGTCTCCTGGGGTGGCTTCTACAGAGCCTGGGATCCAGAGAGAGAAAGTGGCTGTGGACTGCAGGTCCCTGCTGGTCCCTGATGAGTTTGATTCATCTACCTCTTCCCTGCCGCCACCTATGTCACACCTAAGGACTGGCACGGCTCACCAGACTGGACTCATGCATCCAGCTTTGTCCAGTCAGCAGCTGTGCTGTGACCCCATGTCAGAGCCTGCCTCTTTCTTGTCCATACTCTTGGGGCTGCTGCCCTCCTGGCATCTCTTGCCTGAGTTCTGTAGCAGGGTCTTGGCCTCTGTGGTTCAGAGGGGGCCTGATTCCCTTCCAAGCAGCCTCTCAGGCTTACTGGGCCATTTTTGCTGCCCTGCATTCTGCGCTATGAGTTTTCTGACACCACCCTTAGGTGCTGTTGGAGGAAGTGGCAGGGCTGCAGCTGTGGAACAGATCACAGCTCCTAAGATTCATGGTTGCAGTCAAATTCCCAAGACCTCAGAGTGCGGCTATGTTAGGCACAGAGTGTCCAACACAAACCACTGGGATGAGGCCACACTGGACTGAGATTGGCATTTGACCCAATAGCACTGAGTTTCCTTGTGAAAGGCGTGATGGCAACAGGGATACACACACACGGGACAATGCCAGGACAGTGAGGCAGTGAGCAGTACTGCTCTCCTGAGTGAAGGAACAGCAGAGTGAGTCCCCCCGCCCCAGGATGAGAGTGTCTTGGAGCAGGTTCTCCCAGCAGGCTGAGGAGACTCAGCCCACAGGCCCTTCCTGGTACTCCTGGCCTTCACACAGGGAAAGCAGACCTTTGTAGACACAGCACAGGTCTCTGTCCAGTCCTTGCATCCATAGAAAACTAGGGCAGATTTTGTAATCAGAAGTAGGATGTTGGTGTAAGAAGAACCTGTAAGTGTGGAAGAGAATATGGAACTGGACAGTGGCCCTGGATGACCTCATGACATAGCCCAAGGTAGTGTGGTCCACCCTGACCTGGCTTACACAACTGGTCTTCTCCATGGTACCACCTAGATGCTTCCTGCATGATCTCCTTAGGGGCCTAGGTGTCTCCCAACCCATCTCTGCCTCCTCTTTTCTCCTACTGCCTCTTCCTCTCAGTAATCAATTCATACCAGCCAGCACCCGTATGGCCTCTGGGCTGCCTCCAGCTGTGCACACCTGGTCAGGAGCTCAACATGGCTCCCTCTGCATCTCTGCAAGGCTCTCATCTGGAGTAAACCTGGCCTTAAGACTCAGCCCCTCAACTCAGTCTGAATAGGCCCAGCAGGCACTGCCCTTCTGGAGCAATGACATAGCCTTTCTCTTGTCCTGTGCTGTCTCCACCATATGTCCTTCTCACAGGTACCACGGACTCAGGTGCCAGCTCCAACCCGATCTATGTGTGGCACCTTCACCACAGGTGATGGTAGGAAGAAGGAGGGTGGTAGGAGCCCTCCATGAGAGGACTGGGTAGGACGGGATGGTGCTTTAGCAGAGCAGTTCACAGAGCTTCAGTCCCTTCGTCCACAAGAAGAGGCCAGAAGGAGCCCGCCAGGAGCCAGGACACCCCTCCAGGTAGGGCTCTTCCAGTTGGCCTGGACCTCAGAGAAGGCTTGCAAACTAGGAAAGGCACCCACCTCCATGTGGGGTCACCTGGTCTGGCATGTTGTTATAGCCTCCCGGGCACACTAAGACCCTGGCCACCCAGAATGTTGGCTTCAGTGTCCACACTCATGTCTCATCCATGCTGCAGGCCACCTGACCCTGTGCCCACACAGTGCAATGCCTGGCTCATTGCCCAAGGTGTACATGGCCACAGTGTCGGACCTGCTCCTCCTGCATCCCCCTGAAACACATCCCTGAGAAACAAAGGTTTGGGGGTGAGATACCAAGTGTCCCGTTCCCAGTGCCTGAAACAGTACCAGCAGGAGCCAGCAGCAGAGGGGAGAGCCCTGCTGAGAACACGCAGCAGCTGAGCCTGTGCCTGGTCTCTAATGGTGAACATGTATAGAGACCCGGCCTGTGAATGTCTGCTCTTGCTTGGCTTTCTCATTGGCCCTCTTGCTGCCCCTCTGTGACCCTCCTGGAGCCCCCAGAGCCACAAGATAGCTTTCAGTTTGGGTCCCCTTGAGATGTCACACAGTGCCAAAGTGTAAAAAAGGAGGATAATCCTTCAGAAGAAGGCAGTTCCACAGGGGAACTATGTAGTGAGACTATGTCTCAGAAAAAAATCAAAAAACAAACACAAAAACACAAGAGAGCACATCTGCATTTATTTCAGGACAACACACATGCAAATAGCAAAGCAGAGTGTGGGCACCCAGTGCTGTGAACATGGTGGAGATGTTGGGCTGGTATGGAGAGAAGCCTGGTCCTAGAGAGCAGAGCTGCTCTGGTCCTAGAGAGCAGAGCTGGAAGGATGTGAGAAGAGGTTCAAATCCAGGGCCACACAGGGCAGGCCACCCCAGACCAGGCCCTGTGGTTGGGCTGTTGGTATCCAGTGTCTGCCCACCGCTGGGTCACTTCACCTGCAGGCGACAGAGGCAGCATGAATGGCCATCCCAGTAGGAGAGAAGGTGCAGGCAGTGAGGAACCTGGAGGCCAGGATCGCTGTCCAGGTCAGGCTCCTGCCGCACTCCCAGCACCAGCCTCCACCCGAGCCATCTACCTTGAACAGGGTGACAGTGGTGCTGTAGAAGAGGCTCAGCAGGAACAGCACAATGAAGGTGGAAGCGGTGGTCCACAGGTTCTCAAAGCCCTCCTCCTCAGCATTCACCTCCCCCTCTGCAGCGGACACAGGAGGAAGGAGGGTCAGGGCGCCTGCATCCCACTTGGGGCTGGGAGCACACAGTGCATAGCAAGGCCAACAGCCAAGAGCTAGAGTGGACAGAGGCAGAGGCAGGCCAAGCAGGAGCAGACAAGGATGCAAAATCTTGCCCAGGGGCCCTGGATAACAAAGAGCACGACAGATGTAGCACATGGACACAGGAGAAGGCACAGGAGGGACTGAGTTTTCAGTGAGTCCTGGACCCTCCTTGAGCAAGAGGCACAGCCAGAACCACTTGGCTAAGAAGAAGGGATGGTGTGGAGTGCACAGGAGGGAGTGAGGGCCAGGCTACCCCTGGTCACCTCCTCAGGACACTGCTAACAGGAGCAGAGCCCAGAATACATCTGGCTGGGTGTTGCTTCCTTACCAAAGTGACAGAGGCCTGGGGATATTCTGTCCTACCAAAATGAAAGACATCTGGGGACATACTGGCTGGAAGTTCCCCTCCTATCAGAGTGGCAGAGACATCCTGGCTGGTCCCATCCTACCAGAGTGATAGAGGCCTGAGGATATCAGTACTGAGACAGAGGCAGAGGGAGCCCTTGGGGGCACAGTGGGATTCAGCACTCAGGGGACATCTTTAGCTCAGGGGAGAGGGTAGGAGCAGTCCTAAGCCAGCACTGTTCCTTGGGTGTGGGACCTAGCTGGGCCTTGTCCCTGCTGCGTGGGCCTGTCCTTCTGCAGAGCTGCCTTTTGTTCTCTGTGCCCCAAATGGGCAGGGTGTGTGTCTGCGGGGCCATCATACTAATGTTGACCCTATTGACCTCCTCACAGTGGGGCAGCCCTCACCTGCAGGGTACATCTGGACACCACCTGCTCTGTCATTCACACTGGAACCTACTGCATTGGGAACCCATTCCTCCCCAGGAGCCAGCCTGGATGGCACCTTCCTGGGAAGCCCCAGGCTTACTCTGAGCTCCCTGAGAAGCTATAGTGGCCCTGTCCTGTGAGGTGCTCTGAGTTCTGGCTCTGGGCCTAGGGATGGCACCTCAGTCAGAGTCCAGGCTGCGCCAGGCCCTGAAGTAACTCCACACCAAGACGGAGAGAGAAGAAGAGCATGAGACAAGCCCCGGGACGACATGGTGTGGGGAGCCACGGTTGGGGAGGCCAGAGATGTGCACATGAGTGTGTGCACGCCTGCATGCTGAGTCTGTGCCTTGTGTCCACCTGCTCCTGTGCACACAAGTGTTCCTGTCCACATGTCTTTGTGCCCAGTGCATGTGCATACACATGCCTCTCTGCGTGTCCATGTCTTATGTCTCTGTGTACATTCCGTGTAGGTGGGCATGTGGCCAAGCATGTCCATCTGTGTGTGGTAATATGCATGAGTACCAGTTTGTGTGTCACTGCCTGGTGAGTGTGTATGGATTCATGTACATCTGTGTGCCTGTGTGTTGGTGTGTGCAATGAGTGCATGGGTGTGTACATGTCCACACACACGTGTGTCAGTGTCTGCATACCCATGAGAGTGCCTGTGTGCTGCCTGTACCAGCATGGCCAAGTGCTCAGACATGTGTGAGAAGCAGCTACAGGGTCTGCAAGGAGCACACTGCCTGTGCGAGCAGCCGCAAGGGGCCACGGTCTCCCTGGGCACTGGGAGGCCAAGTGCCAGGGCAGAGATGGGCAAGGTGAGGGGCTGCAGGCAATGGCCAGGGAGGGCACAGCACAGCCATGGCCAACAGGCCAGTGCATTGTACACTCAAAACCAGCATCTTTTGAAGGGATCTTTTTATTTCTAATTTTAGGAAACGCAACACCACACCCCCGACACGGTTAGTTTGCACGCACACAGGCAGAGCGACTGGACCGAGGCGCTGGGCTGGCTGGGGCAGCATGGTCAGTAGCAGGTGTGGGCTGTGTCAGACATGATCAGGGACACGTTGTACAGGGTGGGTTTACCAGTGGACTTGTCCACGGTCCTCTCGGTCACCATGTGCGGCAGGCTCTCGTGGCCCACTACACAGGTGAAGGTCTCCCCTGAGCTCCAGTCCTCCTCGGTCACTGTCAGCAGGCTGTGGGCGTAGTAGAGGCCTGGGGTATGGGGCTCGGGCATCGCGGCGCTGGTCACATACTTGTCCGAGGACAAGGGCTGCCCGCTCTTTAGCCATTGCACAAAGACGTCTGCAGGAGCAAAGCCCTTCACCAGGCAGATGATGGTGGCCTGCTCGTGCAGGACCAGCTGCTCCCGGGCTGGTGGCAGCACATACACGGCAGGGGGCTTCTTGTTCCCAGCTGTGGGCAGAGAGGAGTTGGTAAGCACAAGGCAGGTGGGGGACGGGTGGGATCCTGGGTACAGGTTGGGGGCTGAGCCTACCTTTGGGCTTGGAGATGGTCTCCTTCACTGGGAAGGGCAGGTCCTGGTGGATCACAGTGCATGTGAAAGTCTCCCCAGAGTCCCAGTCTTCCTCACAGATGCTGGCCTCACCTATGGCACTGAGAGTGCCATTGGCTTGGCTCACAGGGTCTGTGAGTTTGGTTGGCAGTTCCTTGCCATCCTGGCGGGACCAGGAGATGTTTAGTCCTCCGGGGTGGGTCATGTCGCTGACCAGGCACCTCAGCTTGACTGACTTGGTGTGGAAGATGTCATTAAAGGAGGGAGGAATGGTGAAGACTTTCATGTCTGTGGCTGGTGTTGCTGTGGAGAGAACACTGCTGTCAGTGGTGGTTGGATGTGAATTCAGGCAAAGCTGTAGAACCTAGGAGCAGCCCTGCTCCTGGGATTGGTGTCACCTGACCTGTGTCCCCACTGCTCCCTGCCCTGCTCTTGGAAGCTCCAGGAATCCAAAGTTCAGGAGTAAGTAGCCAGGTCTGGGTGGCATCTGCCACACCCAAGTAGACAGCTCTAGGGTACCTTGGGTTGAAGGGGTCTGGGCAGGGGATGTGTACTTACTGGGGATACACACGGAGGAGGACACATTCTTCTCGAAGATGCCTGTCTTGTGAGTCACACGGCAGGTGAACACCTTCTGGCCTAGCCAATCGCTATCAGTGATGATCAGTGTGCTGGTAACCTTGAAAGTCACTGCCCCAGAGTCTTTTTGCTCAGCCACTATCTGGTCTGTGACGACACCATACTCTGTAGGGGTTCCATCCCGCAGCCAGGACACTGTGATCGGCTTGGGGGTGAAGCCTGTGGCCTCGCAGATGAGTTTGGATTTACCAGAAGCAGAGAAGCTGTCTCTGGGTGGGACAAACACGGTCACGTTGGGGGCCTGCTCCAAGGACCCTAGGGTAAGGAAATAAGATGTCAGCCTGGCCTGGCCCATGTCTCTATGCTGCCCCTCTTGGCCACAGCAGGGTCTCTGTGTCCCAGGGAAGGCCTAGCTCTTACCTTCAATAACCACTTCCTTCTTTATGGTGCCTGTGCTATGGTCAACCTTGCACACCAGGTGCAAGTCAGCGTCCTGGAGGATGTTGTTGGAGCCCAGGAGCACTTGGGAGGTGGCTGCATACTTTTCCCCAAGCCGTATATCTGGGAAGGTTCTGATGACCTGGTTCACCGCAGAGTCGTTCTTGTAGGTCCAGGAGAAGGATATTTGGCTGGGCAGAAAGTCCCGTGCCAGGCAGCCCACAGACACCTGGTTGCCATCAGAGAAGGGTCTCTCGCAGGAGACGAGGGGAAAGAGAATCGGACTGGATTCCGTTGCTGGGGACCCAAGAGGCACAAAAGAGGAGTGTGAGATGATGTCTCTTATACCCTGTGCACCAGGGGTCTCTCAGTACCTCCCTCCCACACTGGCTGCCTCTCAGCTGTGGTCACAGGCCTTGGGGTGCTGGGAGACCTCATTGGCCTCCTTCTGTAGGAGTCAAGGATGAATGTGTTGTGGGAGCAGAAGGCCCCATTCAGGGCAGGCAGGCAGGCCTGTGTGCTGCTGGGCTGTTGCACTGTGCTGGCTCAATTAGTGGAGAACACAAGGAGCCCAAGGCCAGGCCTCAGGGCTACATGGGAAGCCAAGGGGAAACTGCAGGCAGCTGAAGCTCTGCATGGGCATGTGGAGTTAGCAGCAAGACAGCCTGCCCTGAGGGCTCTCAGGCTGGCAGTGGGGTTGTGTGGGGCACATGTTGGGTTGCTGTGATGGATGGGACACCAGTGTAGCTCCACCTCAGTGCAGCCTGATCAGGAACAGTGGCTCAGCACAGAGTCCCCAGGGTCAAGCTCCCCAGCTGGTCAGCCCAGCTGGAGCCATGTGGCCTTGCAGAGCCTGTCGGGACCAGCTGGACAGAGCCCAGTTCAGCCAGCTCAACAGCACTCAGCGCAGCCCAGCTCAGTCAGGAACACGACAGTCACTGAGCTCAGCCCAGTCCAGCCCAGTGCTGTTTAGCTCAGCCTCGCTCAGCCCAGTTTAGCCCAGCGCAGCTGAGACTGCCTCATTGTACCTCTGCTGCACTCAGCCGGATTCAGCTCAACCCAGCTTAGCTCAGTCCAGCTCTGCTCACCGAGCTCACCCAGCACAGCTCACCCAGCCCAGCTCATCCAGCACAGCTCAGACCCCTTCTGCCCAGTGCTGCTTGGCCACGCTCTGCTCAGTCACCTCGGCTCAGCTCTTTTAGCTCACAGCTCAATCCAGGTACCTTGCCCGAGCCCGGCAAAGTTCAGTACAGCCTTGCTCAACCCTGTGTAGCTCAGCTCTGTTCAGTCAAGCTCTCCTAACCAGCTTGCTTAATTTACCTACTCATCTAACCCAGCACAGCACAGCTCAGGTCAGGTTAGCCAAGCCCAGCCCAGCCCAGCCCAGCTGTGTTAGCCCACCTCCGCTAGTCCAGCTCAGCCCAGCCCAGCTAGTCCAGTTCAGTTCAATCCAGCCCAGGTCTGCCAGCTCAGCTGTCAGCTCAGTCCACCCCAGCCCAGTCTAGTACTGCTAGCCTAGCTCCATTCAGCTCAGTCCAGCTCAGCCCGGCTCAGGTAAGCCCAATCCAGCCCAGCTCAGCCCCGCTCAGCCTAGCCTGCTGCAGTTCAATCCAATCTAGTTCTGCTAGATCAGCTCAGCTCAGCCCAGGCCAACCTGGTTCTGCTAGGTAAGCTCAGCTCAGACTAGCCCAGCCCAGACTAGCCCTGCTCAGCCCTGCTCAGCCTAGCTTAGCCCAGCCTGGTCCAGTTCAATCTGACTCTGTTAGTTCAGCCTAGCTCAGCACAGCCCAGCTCACCCCAGCCCAGCTCACCCCAGCCTAGCCCAGCTCAGCTCAGCTCAGCTCAGCTCAGCCTGGTCCAGTTCAGTCTGGTCCAGTTCAGCCCAGCACAGCCCAGCACAGCACAGCATAGCACAGCACAGCACAGCACAGCACAGCACAGCACAGCACAGCACAGCACAGCACAGCACAGCACAGCACAGCCCATCCCGGCTCAGCTAAGCTCAGCCTGGTCCAGTTCAGTCCAGTCCAGCTCTGCTAGCTTAACCCAGACTAGTCTGGCCCAGCTCAGCCCAGCTCAGCCCAGCTCATCCCAGCCCAGCCCAGCTCAGCCCAGCTCAGCCCAGCCTGGTCCAGTTCAGTCTGGCCCAGCTCTGCTAGCTCAGCTCAGCATAGCCTAGGCTAGCCTGGCTCAGCTCTGATCAACCCTGATCAGCCCAGCTCAGCCCAGTCCAGCTCTGCTAGCTCAGCCTAGCCCAACTCAGTTCATATCAGCTCTGCTAGTTTAGCCTAGTTGAGCTCAGCTTAGCCCAGCTCACTCCCACTCTGCTAGCTCAGCCCAGGCCAGGCCAGGCCAGGCCAGGCCAGGCCAGCCTGGCTCTGCTAGTTCAGCCCAGATCAACCCAGTTCAGCCCAGCCTTGTCCAGTTCAATCTGGACCAGCTCTGCTAGCTCAACTCAGCCCAGCTCAGTCCAGCCCAGCTCACCTCAGCCTGGTCCAGGTCAATACAGTTCAGATCTGCTAGCTTAACCCGGGCCAGCTCAGCTCAGTCCAGACCAGCTCTGCTAGCTCAGCCCAGCTCAGCCCAGCCCAGCTCAGTTCAGC